ATCAAGACATGGTGTTTGATGCTGCTGGTTTTAATCATGAGCAACAAAATGAATAGGAACATCCAAATATGGAAGCTGCCAAATTTTACGAAATGTTGAATTCAGCTCAACAACCATTATGGCTAGGATGTGAAAATACATCTGAGTTGTCTACAGCTATTACAATGTTGAGTTTAAAATCTAAACACAAAATGTCACGAGCTTGTTTTAATGATGTGATGAAGTTTATGAAAGAGTCAAGCCACCCTAAGAATGTCATTCCTTTTAATTTTAGGGAAACAAATAAACTTGTAGCAGGGCTCGGTTTATTGATTAAAAAAATAGATTGTTGCATTAATGGGTGCATGTTGTATTACAAAGATGATAGTACTTTGAAGGAATGTAAATTTTGTGAAGAGGCTCGATATAAAGCACGCAATGCACATAAGAAAAATTCAAAAGATGTTCCCTAAAAAAGATTGCATTACTTGCCGCTCATCCCTAGACTACAAAGGTTATATGTTTCCATGAAAACTGCATAGTACATGAGATGGAATTATGAAAATCATAGGGAAGAAGGTGTGTTGTGTCATCCTTCAGACGGGAAAGCTTGGAAACACTTTGACCATCTGTATTCTGAATTTGCCTTAAAACCTTGAAATGTTAGACTTGGCTTATGTGCCGATGGATTCACTCCTTTTAACCAACCAGGAACACAATATTCTTGTTGGCCAATAATTGTAACACCATATAACCTACCTCCAGAACTCTGTATGATGACTCCATATATGTTTCTAACCTTGATGGTTCCAGGTCCACATAATCCAAAAGGCAAAATTGATGTGTAGTTGCAATCGTTGATAGATGAATTGCAACAATTATGGAATGATGGTGTGATAACATATGATGCTTCAAAAAAGTGAAATTTTCAATTGAAAGTTGCATTGATGTGGACAATAAATGATTTTCCTACTTATGCGATGTTGCTTGGGTGGAGTACAGCTGGAAAATATGCATGTCCAGTATGCATGAAAAAAACAAAAGTTTTTAAACTGGATAAGGGAAACAAATTGTCTTGGTTTGATTTTCATCGCCAATTTTTACCTCTCAATCATGCTTTCAGGAGAAATAAGGGAGCATTTTACAAAAATAGAATTGAGAGAAATGAGCCCCCTTATAGGCTAAGTGGTGAACAAGTGTGGGAAATGATTTTTAACATTCCTAAGACTACTGAAGTGAGGGTATGCAAAGTTCCAGGTCATGGAAGATACCATAATTGGACCAAAAGAAGCATATTTTGGGATTTGCCATATTGGAAACACAATTTATTAAGACATAATCTTGATGTTATGCATATAGAAAAAAATGTCTTTGACAATGTGTTTCATACTGTTATGGACAATAAAGAGAAAACTAAAGACAATGAAAATGCACGATTAGAAATTGGACTTAGCAGAGCATTGTCATAGAAAAGAGTTATTTTTGAAAACAAAACCTAATGGGAAATATATAAAGCCTAAAGCAAAATTTTGTTTATCAAATGAACAAAAAAAGGAAGTGTGTGAATGGGTGAAAGGGTTAAAAATGTCTGATGGTTATGCTTCCAATATTTCCAGATGTGTAGATACAAAATCTATGAGATTATTTGGGTGGTCTTCCTAAACCAATATGGAAGCCCTTAACTGAGCTTAGTCAATTCTTTAGAGACTTATGTTCAACAATGTTACGGGATGATCATTTATTGCAAATGGAACAAAACATTCCCATAATCATATGCAAGTTGGAGCGTATATTTCCACCTGCATTCTTTGACTCTATGGAGCACCTACCAATTCATTTGCCTTATAAAGCTAGGATGGGTGGACTAGTTCAATATCGTTGGATGTACCCATTTGAAATTAATGTTACTAAACCTTTTTTTATCAATGTAGAAAAAGGAAAAAGGAATGGATCCATCATTAAGTGAGTTTTATTTTTGTACACATTGAAAAAAGAATAAAAGTTGGGTGGGTCATCATGCATAATTAACATTTGTAAGTTTTTTGTTGTTGATTTTTTAGAATATTGGGTATGGAGTAGCCTCCTTCAAAATCTGGAAATTTTCTACATGACCAGGTTTATGATAGTGATATTTTAAAAATTTAAGACACAATAATTATTTTATGTCTTCCTTTTAAAAAAGGAGAAGTGGAGACTTTTTGTTAGTTCAAGTTAATTTTATTATACAAATTTCATTGGCAGGACAAATTTCAACAAAGGAAATTTGAGTTATCATCTCAAAGGGAGGATGGAGTTGATAGCCAATCATCTATAAATCATCCTATGCCTTCTGACTTGGATATATGGGTAGATTTAGTTGGAAAGAAAAATGGAAGGATCCTTGGTCTTGGATCTTTAGGCAAAATGTTGACTCCATCAAGATTTTCTACTAAATATGAGGATATGTGTTCTTTAAGGGGTCAAATGCAGGCATTAAATGAATCATTGCAAAAACAAGAGGAAGAGAAGCTAACAATGATGCAAGAGTTGCAAAGACAAGAAAATGATAAGCTAGAAATAAGACAAGAGTTGAATGAGACAAGGAAACATTTAGTAGCTTTAATGACACATTTAGGATTTGTTGGCTCTTCTTCTCATCCACCTCCATCACTTGAACGTAGCTATGGAAATGTTGACAATGATGATGATGATGATGAAGATAATGATGAGGAGGGTGATATTTAAAAAACGTGTATTACCTCATATTTTATTTAGTTTCTTGTCTTAAAATATTTGATTTGTGTCTTGAATGCAATAGATTAAATCTTTGAAATTTATTTTTTTCCAACTGTGAGTGTTGTTTAATTTAGTGGTTTTTTATGATGCATTGTTATAATGATGTTAAATGAGATCTTGACCTTTTATGTTTATAAATCAGGAACTAACATGGACTGGAATTAGACTAAAAGAGTTTCAACCATCTTGCTTTGAGAAGGTTATTGTCATTGCTCAATTTTTTTTGCTTAGTTTTGATTATGATGATAATAGGTTTAAGCTGGAATTAAACTTGAAGAGTTCAGGAAAGTTTTGGTCATCCAAATTTAAGAAGGTTCTTGTCATTGTTTAGTTTCTTTGTTTGGTTTTGGTTAATAATGTGATGACACACATTATCAAGTACATCATCAACGTTTTACATTCTATGATATGGGTATTGAGTTTATATATGCTTCAGCAGTTTATATATGTGCTTTCTTTTTGTTATAGTGGGCCTTGGTGGTTAATCAATGTTTTCACTAAACCTCAAAAAATTATTTATGTACTTGAATGAGTGAGTTAAGGGCTTTGAGTATGATTATCAAAACAAATTCTTGTCTTGAATGAACTATGCAGTATGCTTGAAATTAAGGCCTAAAGGAACTTGATATCTATAGTGGTAAGTATGAATAGATTGTGTTTTTGTTTGCATAATATTATGTTCTATTAATTATACTAAGTTTGGCAGAGTCTGTTATGGAAGAAGTGAAAAGGTTAATTGAAGTGTACAAAGGGGAAGCACTGGGCATTACCATCACGGGGCATAGCTTGGGTGCGACACTTGCGTTGTTGGTGGTGGATGACGTCAACACTTGCTGCAATGATGTCCCACCTGTGGCTGTTTTTTCCTTTGGTGGCCTAGGGGTGGTAACTAGGAACAAGCTCACAACCCAAAACGTGAAAGTTCTAAGAATTGCGAACTTGTAGGACGTCATAACATTAAAAAAATTATAAAAAATTACCTGTGATTTTTCCTAGGAAATTTACTTGCGAATTTGAAATTTTGATGAAAATTTACTTACAAAATTTTAATTTTGCAGAAAATTTACTTGGAAAATTTTAATTTTGCAAGAAATTTACTTGCAAATTTTAAATTTCGTGGAAAATTTCTTGCAAAAATTTTGTGGATTTTAAAATTTGTAGAATATTTTTTTGCAAATTTTCTAAGAATTCTTTTTCCACAAGAAAGTTTGCTGCGTTTTTTTTTTGCAAAAAATTTTTCTATAGCCAAAATCATAAGAATTTTTTTTGCAAATTTTGAAATTGGCAAGAAACAATTACCCACAAAGGTATTAGCTGCGAAAATAAATTTGTAGAAAAATTCGCAAAAAAACTTCTTTCCTACAAATTTTGATGAAAAATTCTTAGGAAAATCCTAAGGTAATAGAAAAAATTCTAGTAGTGTCAACATCTTATGCATAACCTTCTTATTCACCTTCATATTTCATCCCATAGATATATCACTTCTTAGAACATGTTGAAAGAGTTTGTCTACAAAGAAGTGAATGTTCATTCCTTAAACAATCTCTTCATCATCCTTGATCTTCTTAGTACTCTTATGGAACTCACCATATTCTCAATGATACAATGCAAATGGTATATTTGCATTAATAATATTAAATATTACATTAGTATTTCTTTTATTTTTTAATTTAATGAAGAATGATATTGAACTACTATAGTTATATGAATTCAAAATTCCTTCTTAAACCACTATTTGGACTATGTTTTGTCAACTATGTGTTTATATATAAATTGATATGATTTTTTTAAAATTATTTATTATTTAAAGATTAGCATTGAATGTTATTTAATATTTCTTTTTCACTCTAATTTATTATATATATGTATTATTGTATATGTTTTTTTTTTTTTTGGTTCGTCCCTGGAATAGCCAGGACTGATAGCAGTTGGAGGCACCTCAAAGGGTAACGCGACTGCATACACAAGGCAAGTGTGATAGCTGACCCCAAGATTTAACGCGACTACATATACAAGGTGGCCCCAAAATTTAACACGACTGCATACACAAGGTAGGATTCGAACCTCTGACCTTATTTAAGCGTGAATTAACCCCTACCGCTAAATCACATATTAGTGTATATTTATTACTATAATAAATAGATAAAAAAATATAGAAATGAAAAAACACTTTAATTACATTCAACGTGGGCACAGAAAAGTTGCTACTGTTGCCAAAGCAAACCGATTTATTCATGTTATATGGATGAGGAGTTTTGGAAATTTAGGTAAGTTCACTCAATCACACACACAGCAATGAAAATCATAACAAGGGATTAGATTAGTTCAAAAGTTTCCATATTAGGGTTTGTCTGGGCTCTCTCTCTCCCTCTCTCTCCCTCTCTCTGTGTCTCTTCTCTTCTGCACACAACCACATGCCCTGGTAAGATCTCTCATCCTCTCTCCCTTTCCCACGCTGCGTTTTGATCTCCACGCGTTTTTTCTCGATTTTTTACAATCTCATTATTTGCTAAAAACCCTAAAATAAAAACCGTTTTTTTTTTATTTGGTCGCAAAGGGGGAAAAAGTGAAAAACCTCGATAATGGACGAAGGCGAAGGAGGGTACGGCGAGAGCGGCGATCCTATGGATCAGTTCCACCGTAACGAGGCTATATCCGCCGTTGCCGACGAGGGTTTCTTAGGCGAGGAAGACGACGATTACGAGGACCTTTACAACGACGTCAACGTCGGGGAAGGGTTCCTTCAATCATTGCGGAAGAATGACGATTCAGGGTTCCGAAACGACGACATCGACGAAAAGAAGCCACCGCCGCCGCCGCCGGTTCCTGATGCGGCCGGTGTTTCGATCCCGGGTGTCGGTGGCGGTGGAGAGGGTGGCGTTGGTGTTGGAAGCGGGGTTGTGGAATCTAGGGTTCCGGCGAGAGTTGATGGGTTTCAGAATCAAGGGTTTAGAGGGAACGAGGTGGGTGCCAAAGGTGGAATTAGGGTTGAACTGGGGCATCAATCAGGGAAATTGAGTGAAATTGAGGAGCAGGGTGGTAACGATGGTGCAGCGGTGCAGGGGATTGGGCAGCCACCACATGGCGGAGTTGTTGGGAGTGTGGGGAATGATGGTTTGCTGAGACAAGGTCAAGTTGGGGGTGGTGGAGGAGGAGGGAATGCTAATAGGGTTGGTGGAAACGGTGTTGGGAACAGTGTGACTGCTGTTAGTAATGTTAGTGTTGGAGGAGTTGGAGGTGGTGGTGGTGGTGCTGCTGCTGCCGCTTCTGGTGGTACTATATTGTTTGTGGGTGATTTGCATTGGTGGACTACGGATGCAGAGCTGGAAGCTGAGCTCAGTAAGTATGGGCCTGTGAAGGAGGTGAAGTTTTATGATGAGAAGGCAAGTGGGAAGTCGAAGGGGTATTGCCAGGTTGAGTTTTATGAGCCTGCTTCTGCCACTTCTTGTAAGGAAGGGATGAATGGGCATGTTTTTAACGGGAGGCCTTGTGTTGTTGCGTTTGCATCACCTTTTACAGTTAAAAAAATGGGGGAGGCTCAGATAAATAGGAATCAGCAGATGAATCCATCTGCTGTTCCACAGGGAAGGAGGGGGGCTGCTGATGCAGGGGCTAAGCCTGGTGGGAGCAATATTTCAACGGGTGGTAATTACCAAGGTGGAGATGGGAATAGAGGTTATGGGAGAGGAGGTAACTGGGGGAGGGGGAATAATAATGCCATGGGGAATCGGGGGCCTGTTAATCCAATGAGGAATAGGGGTGGGGGGATGGGTGGCAGAGGTATAATGGGTCATGGTGGAAATGGATTTGGGCAGGGTATGGGTGGTACTCCACCACTGTTGCATCCTCAGTCAATGATGAATCAGGGTTTTGATCCTGCATTTGGTGGTCCCATGGGTAGAATGGGCAATTATGGAGGCTTTCCCGGTGCTCCAACACCACCATTCTCTGGTATTTTACCTTCATTCCCTGGTGTGGGAGGTGTTGGTTTGCCTGGAGTGGCACCTCATGTCAATCCGGCATTTTTCGGAAGAGGGATGCCTGTGAATGGTATGGGGATGATGCCCACATCTGGCATGGATGGTCCTAATATGGGAATGTGGTCCGATCCGAATATGGGTGGATGGGGTGGTGAAGAGCCTGGTGGTGGTAAGGCTGGAGAGTCAAGTTATGGGGAGGAAGCTGCATCAGATCATCAGTATGGTGAGGTGAGTCATGATAGAGCTGGGTGGCCAATGAGGGATAAAGATCGAGGGTCAGAAAGGGACTGGTCTGGTTCTTCTGAGCGAAGGTACAGGGATGATAGAGATCAAGGATATGAGAGAGATGCCCCTAGAGAAAAAGAGGTGGGCCATGACCATGAATGGTCAGAAAGAAGGCATCGTGATGATAGAGAAATGGGCCGTGAACGATCTCGTGATCGTGATCGTGAACGATCTCGTGACCGTGATCAAGACCGTGAAAGGGATCGAGACCGTGACAGGCACAGAGAAGACAGGGACAGGTATGCAGATCATCATAGGTACAGAGACCGGGAAGCAGAGCATGATGATGAGTGGGAGAGGGGACGGTCATCAAGGACTCACAGCAAGTCACGGTTATCACAAGAGGAGGAACACCATTCTAGGTCGAGAGATGCTGATTATGGGAAGAGGCGGCGGCTTACTTCTGAATAACTCTGTATGCTGCTTGTTATTTCTCTTGATGCTTTCCACTGAGGAAGGAGAAAACAGTAACTGAAGAGTCAGGATTTGTCATTTGTTGAATTCTCTAGTGGCCCAGACATTGTTGAGCAGCTGTTTTATTTCAATCACTTGTTCTAATTGCTTCTTGTTAGGAGCATGGTTTCTTTCTTCTTTGATAAAGGTTAGTTTCAGACTTCAGTTCTTAGCCTGCTTGTGTTATTGGATCTTGATTTGTGATATAAGCTTACTGTCTGCTATGTGCATTATGACGAAATAATACTAGATGCCTCTGCTTTACTCTCTTGTTTTCATGACGATTTCCCATGGACACAACCAATTGTAAGGTGAGATTTAGTTTTCACCATAGGTGATATGACAACTATCTAGAGAAGAATACTGTTGACTGTTTAGCGTTCTTCACTAGTAGATTTCTGCAGGCTTTTAAAATATTGTAACTTATTATTCAGAGGAGGAATCAGCATGTTCGAGATTAAGCCTTTTAATTTTTGGAATATATAATATAGTTAAAACTGAACCTGGAAGTATAAGCTTAGGCATCTTAGAACTAAACTATGGCTAACAAATGAGAAGCCCGTTGATATTTAATTGAAGGTTCAATAAGAAATTATTAACTTTGAATATTACTAATATATATATATATATATATATATTTTTTTTTTTTGTATTAGTGTTTTGCTTTTGTTGCGGGTGTTTTATAGAGGGTTTGGGATTGCTTTTCATTCTTTTATTTTTCTCCTCCATTTCAGACACATGTTTTGTGGTTTTGAATGCAAGGATTTACATTTACATTTCCTTCTTTGTGATTTCTTTGGGAGAACATCGTATCCGCTTGTATTTTCCTCTTTGCATCTAATAATAATTTCTTTATCTATATCTAAATAAAAATAATATTAATTTTGTCTTTAAAATTTGTTTTCTTCCATTGTCTAGTTAATGTTTCATTCTAGTATTTCTTTTGTTCATGTGTGCTCTTATTTATTCTAGTAATCTTCCTTGTTTATAATCTGGGCTGAGTTCCACCAAATCCATTCAGAATATCTTTTTTCCTTTTGATTCTCAGTTTGAAGCTGTAGTGCTTTCCTATCTCTCTGCATTTGGACCAGTTGGTTGTTTGACTATGGTTTCTGGATTAAATGGAAATCTATATGTTGTCTCTAAACACTTTACTTTTTAATTACTCTTTTTTGGGGGCTAATTATGCAAATTAATGGAGTTTATAATCTGGAGTCAGCTATGTGTATAATCCATTCTGGATTTGTAGCTTCTATGTGTGCATACTAGTAACTAGTTTCTTTGGAAGTTTTGTACAGTTATTACCCCCCCTGCCACCTTTTCTTTTGTTGGTAGTATAATTGTATAAAGATCTTGTTATAGTAAGTGGTATTTCTACACTTGAATATGCAGGTTATATCCATTAAGTTCTATGTTCAGAAGTGAATGTCTTTGTATGTGGTTGCATTTATTATGGCTACATGTTTTTAGCAGAATAATTTATGATATTGGGATGATCATATAATATATTATAACTGGAGCATCAAATGATCTCAATTGCACTACTTTTTGGATTTTCTCTAGGTATTTGTTTGAGGTATAGTTTTTGTAAGTTGTTCCCTTGACAAATACCTAGCCTAAGCTGTGGGTAGGATCTTTGGACACATGGATATGAAAAGGGAAAATAGGCTTATTCTTGAATGATTTCAATTTTCAATTGTTGAAATAATGGGTTTTAGGAAGGGAAGGACGAAGAGATGGAGGAGTATTTCAGCTATATCTTAATTAGGTTATTAATAGGAACTAGGTTATACGGAAGACAAAGCACTCAACTTAATATATACAAGGAATCAAATCAAGTATTTGACTTTTAACCCTGTGCAAATGGGGAACAAATATCATACTGAAGATGAGATAAAAGCCTCAAGAACAAGTTTAACATGATTAGATCCCTAGAAGTAAGCTAATACAATTCTAATATGTTATGCTTTATACTCTTCTGCTATGATATTTTGTGGATATTATAATACTCCCTTAAGGTAAAGCCTAAAGTTTTAGCTTGTTACAAATGAACACTAAAGAAAACAATATAAATATGAATTGTGTTCTGTAAAATTGGAAAAGGTGGAGATGCATGTCTTTACAGGCCAGTCAAGTTGACATATGCGTAGAATGCTAGAACATTGCTTGGTGGATTGTAATAGTTTTGGGCTTTTGGCAATAGTCACCTTATAGTAGTGTGCTGAGTTGGGATAGGCAAGGATGATGGTAGGGTCCAGTTAGAGCTGAAACATGCTCTTTAGGGATGAATATGATATGTTCAGTTGCGGGAGCAGTGATAAAGTAGTATGGGTGGAAGAATACATAGGGATTTGTTGCCTGGAATTTGTGCATGGCCAATGGGAAAATGAAACACAATTAGAGGTGTATGAAGGCCAAGAAAAACGTGTAAAACCATTAAAAAAGGATTTAGATTTAGGTTGCATCTCTGAAGAACTGGTTATTGAAATATCACAATGGCATTTTTAATCCATGTAGTTGACCCCACTTTGCAGTAAAAGGTTTTGTTATTGCTGGTTGTTGAAAACAAATTTACACCGAACTTGAGAATCCAAAATTTTCTTTTTTTTGGAACAAGTGAGTGGAAAAATAATGGCTTTTGGTTGTGGAGAATGGTATTTGGCTATTTGCTTTGCTCTGATACCATGCTGAAAGTATAGGGTATAAACAGGGAAGGAGGAAAGGAAAGTTAGCTGACTTTTAATTATATTCTCTTGGATTGATGTGGTGTATAATGATTTGATGCAAAAGACAAAGCACTAACCTCTATATATATAGTAGGAGTTAGCAGGTTAAGTACTAGATTCTTAACCTGCTAACCCTAATCATATCATGGGAACAAATAACTCACTAAAGATTTGATAAAACCCATTACAAGATCCCCAAAAATAAGTCAAGACAATTGTCCTAATCTGTCATGCATCATTTCCTCCTTGAGGTAAATATTTTTTAGATATTCTAACATCAATATTTCCAATTAATTTTGAAGTTAAATGCATTTCTACAGCCTAAAACCCTTGGTTTTCAGTTTCCCAACGATTAAAATGTGTTGTTTGCTTCTGGGGTCAATATATAATATTCTCACCCCCATAAAACAACCAAGTTTCTGTGTGCTTGTTTAACTGAATTGTGGAAGTATTTTTCTCTCTCCATTTTATATGAATTATACCTGCTTTATCTTCTTTCGGTTAGTGCCTTCTGAATTGTAATCAATTATCATTGTTATGGGCTTCTGTGTCGTGTAGGAACAATT